AAAAAGTTCATGGAAAGGCTCATATTATATTTTAATTTTATTTTTCCATGAACTTTTTATATTATGTGTACATACATACATGTTTAGATATGCACATGTGTATGACACACAGATGTAATGTGGTAGATAATTTGTTTATGCAAAATCTCCTGTGATAAATTTTTGAAGGACAGTGGCTGGAGGAAAGCAGGGACTTGACTCTGTGTGGCCTCTGCGTGCTTCCTTCCATAGGACCAAGGGTGGTCTACAGGTCTTGGGGGGTGCACCCATTGTGAGGCGGCCTGGGGCTACCGTGAAGGTGAGAGTGGACGTTCTGACCCTCACTTAGAGCATTGGAAGCATGGTGGTGGGCAGGGCAGTGGTCAGCTGCTTCTGTCAACATGGACATTTACAAAGAAGGAATATGGTCTAGAGAGGGTTTCTGGGAATGTGATACTTTTTGAGACCCTGGGGCTGCCCCTTGAAAAATCCTAGATTCACATTACTCGGATCAAGTAGGCAGTGTGACGATGGGGGCAAGAGCATAGACTCTGGAACCCAGTTTCCTGGGCTTAAATTCTGGCTTTGCTTCTCACTGGCCTGTGACATCGGGCAAGTTACTCTATTTTCCTGTGCCTTAGTTTTCTCATCTGCAAAATGGGGATCAAGTAGTACCTATCTCATAGGGTTGCTGATGATCAGATGCAAACTTGTATGAGGTTTTTACATGTAAAGCTCTTGGAACAATGCCTGGCACACAGTAAGTCCTCAGTAAATGTCACGATAATAAACGCTACCATCACTTGAGGCACCTGGGTCACTTTGTGCTTTTTCTGAATGTTGTGACTCAGCATACAGACAGGCCATATGGAATGTCAGATCTTATTAGGGTTACCTATGTGTGTATATTTATAAACATATGTAGAGTGGCGTGCTGTCTGTTAATATACTTCACATATTCTGCTTAAATCATGTTTAAAAGATGCTGTAGTTTTAGATTAAGCTGCCATGTTTTGGGGAAGCTTATCTATTAAGAGTTTAGACCACGTGATTTTAAGGCAAGTGCCTTCGATTCAGGAGATAGTTGTAGGCAGGGCTACTTGCTTTTTGAATGAAGCCACCTCTATCCCACACCTCTGCTATTAGGTACTAGAGAGGGATTTCATTCTTTTTGTTCTGCTGTCTTGTTAGAGTCTGTAAACCTGAAACCTAGAGGAGGGCCCTGCATGGATGTTATATTCAGAGCATGTGTCACCACAAGAATGATTGAGTAAGTTATTACGTAATGAATAAAGGACTGAGTCTCATTCAACAAAGGAGATGCATTTGCATGATTTCATAATCACGAGAACATCAGCATGTTGCTACTCTGTTGATCAAAATATGGTAGCTTAAGCCAGGACCACCTCATTTTGAAAATGAGGCCCTTCCACCTCCACCCCCAAGTTATTTCTAAGTCTCCTAATGGATCCTCCATGTGTCCACACACCAGCCTGCCTGCCTTGGTCCTCATGAAGCATTTTCTTCATTCTCCCTGTCCATCCTTCCATGGCCAGAGCCCTTGAAGACTGTCACAGAAGTGTCACTACCTGTCAACAGATGCCAGCACCCACTTTAGGGGCACTGGCCCTAGGTTATCCTGAATCTTCTAGTCCTCAGAGAGACTGAGTTCCTGAAGTCCTTGGGAGGAGGAGGAGACTATATCTCCTTCCCAACTCTTGCCACACTTTGCCAGAGCTGGACTCGGAGGGACAGCTGCTTCAGAGCAGAATCCCACAGTTTCTCTTAGGAACATCAGTCCCACAGGGTCTCTCAAGGACATCTCATTGTTCCTAACTCCCTAGGAGTGTAGATGCCCAAGCGCAGGCTGCACAGGTCACAGCATCTGCCCTGCCCTCCGCTCTTCTGCTAGTACAGAGTAAAAGCTTCCAGGCCTATCACTGGGTGGAAACATCCTGAAGAGGTCCTCTCCTCCAAGACATGGTGCTCGAGTATGGGGGCCATGGTCAGCTGTCCTCAAATGCCCTCTTGTACAACTAAGAATAGCAACTGTCTTCTCAGCTTGGATCAGTAGGTACAAAGCTGGTGCTGGTTTGCTTTACATATATTAGCTCCTGTTATCCTCACAGAAACAGTTCTTTGCACCCTATATTGATATATTGATGAGGACAGTGAGGCCATAGAGACTTGGTCTCTTGCCCAAAGTCATACTCAAGTGGCAGAACCAGAATTCAGACCTGGGGCTGTCAAAAGGTAAAGCACTTTGCTATTTCACATGAGTAGAAAGTCTGAGCTCAGCCACAGGGTGGAGAAATGGCTCTGCAGCTTTCTTTGAGTCACATGTGTTGCTTGTCCATGCTTTAGCACCATTCTCAGGGCCTACGAGTGGCAGAAGCTGTCCAGTGTGCCATTCCTGCCTCCCAGCTCTTGACCTGGAGGCCTAACGTTGTGCCGGCCGTCTCAGTGTGACTGAGCAGGCAGCCCCTCAGCCTACCAGTCCCTAATGCAGGGGGACTTGGATGACTGCACCCCACTGGTGGCCAGGTGCTCCTTCAGTGCTGACCACCTGTGCTGGTCCCTCAGGCTCGGCTGTACCCTCTTCCTCTTTCCCAGTATGGCTCATGATGGCTGCTGGCACTTTCCCTCCATGGCCAGTTTATAAGACTGGTTCTGTCTTGCTTCAAATTGGTGGGCTTGTCCTGGAGCCCAACCCCCTCCCAGGGCCCAAATGCTGGCCTGAGCTTCCAGCCCAGAGGTCTTCATGACCACCATCCCAGAGATGACACTGTTCCCCAGGCTTTCATGCCCACGCCAGGCCTCTCAATTCCTTCCCTTGCTGGGCTGCACCCGGGGATAATTAGTTCCAGCTCCAGACCCTATTCCTCCCTAGGCCACCTGTCTGGCTTGGGAGAAAAGCCCAATCCAGATAGATGAAGCCCGCAAACGTGCTGCTGTTAGAGGTGTCCACACGGCAATTTGGACAAAATTTTGCAGCCTCCCTCAGAGTCAGACCTGGGGGTCAGGGAATAGATCCACCTGCTGGAGGAGCCAGGAAGCAGGCTGAGCTTGGCCATGTGCCGGGAAGACCGGTCTCCACAGGTCAGAGACACAACCAGAAGGCAGGGAGCAGGAGGTCAACATGGCCTTTGGATAATAGATTTTATTCACCATTTACAAAAGATGTTGATTGCATGCGAGTTGTAAGGGTGCTGTACTCCCTGTGGAGGGCAAACATGATCTGGAACAGCCCTCTCCTGAAACATGGCCTGGAAAGGACCTGTTTGCTCAGTTTGGGCCTCTGGCTTGTTAGGGAGCCCGTCTCTCACTTAATACTGTCTGAGTCGGGGGCTGCAGAAACCCGGCAAGGAGTCTGCACACTGGCACATCTCAGTAACACCTCACAACAGACTCAGAAATCAAGGAGACCACACTTGCATATAATCTGTTCAAGTAAAATCACTGACATATTCTAGAGGGGTTATTAGTGAGGGGAGCAAGATGCAAAGAACTCTTCTGCTTTCCTCTCTCTGTGCACAAATCTAGCGTTCCCCATAGCAGGTTCCTTAAAGCAGAACGGAGCCTCTTTATTCTAACCACAGAGGCTTTGCATGATTTCTGTCCTGGGGAGGTTGTCACAAGCAGACGAGGTGTGCCCCAGCTAGGGGAAAGTGCCGAGGAGCTGGGAGCCCTCAGACCAGGTCTCTGCCACCAACCAGCTGTGTGGCCTCCAGCAAATTGCTCTTCTCTCGGGAACCCATTTCCTTTATCTTGCCAAAACAGAGGCTTAGGCTGGGTGTGGCTGCCCAGCTCTGGTGCTGTCTGATGGCGGTTGGTCATGGCCTCGTGGGGTCTGGGGTGAGCGGAGAATGGAAGGGAGGGGTGAGAGCCAAGGGCAAAGCCACCATCCAGGGGCAGCCCCCTATCCCACCACAGAGCCCTCTGGGTCACTTGGCAGAGTAGCTGCAAGGCTCCTAATACTTTCTGGAAGAGCTGCACCCAGCAAACTGGCCTGCAGAAAAATCCTTAGCATGTGTGCTGCTTTGCACCTGGTTAAAGCCCTCATCCCACTATTTTCTTCCATCCTCACCCCAGACGAGCGAGTGAGGCAGACAGGCCTTACTTTCTTCATTTTGCAGATGAGGATGAAGATGGTCAGGCAGTTTAGACAGCTTCCCTAAGGCTACACAGTGTGGGTGGGAGAGTGGATAGAAACCGAAGTCTCCCCAGACTTCAGCCTGCACATCCATCTACGGCCCTGCACTGTCTCTTTGAAGACGACTGATGGAGCAGCTCTTCAGACAGGGGCCCTGACACTTTTCCAGATGCCTCCAGGGCTACCACTGTGGCTCCAGCTTGGACATTTCGGGGCCCAGGGCAGTCCTGGCTGGGGACAAGGCCCATCTGATACCTCCATGTCCCTGGCCCCAGGGGGTATATCAGGAGCCCATGGACTCTGCCCAGGCACCATGCTTTCTCATTCCGATGGCTTTCAAGAACATTGCTGCCATCAGCATGAGTTTCCTGGCATCTCTGCCCTCTCCTTGCCAGCATTTGCTCTCCTATGGCCCACAAGTTTTGCTGACCTCTAGGCTTAACTTGGGCTGAATCTCCTTCTGCTCTTAGCTGCAGAGTTCAGGATCCATATTCTAGCCGGCCTTGTCCCACGTGGCCAGGGCCCTGCTCCCTGACTAAGGATGATGAGATTCCATAGAACCTGACGAACTGTGAGGTCTGGGGTTGGTGAGCAGAAGATGCACAAAGCTGGCTCCCCATTAATTCCCAGCACCTAAAGCATGGGGAGCACGGTAGCTGTGTCAAGGATTCAGGTAATGGGGAATCATTTGCCAATTGCATCTCATAGCCTGAGAAATCCTTTGCCCACGGCCCTGTCCAGAGCTTTGCATATGGGGTTTACACCATTGTACAAAACAAGGGTGACCTTAAAGAGGAGAGGGTGGGGAGCCTGGTCCGAGCAGCACGGTGGTCAGGGTGGGGAGTGGGGGAAGAGAAGAGCCACAGGACACATTCTAGAAATACGCCTTGTTGTCTGCACTCTTCTTCTCAAACCTTTTCTTGAGCTCAGAGACCAGAGTTGGCTGGACAGGGCTTCCCAAGGCTGTGGGGTTTGATGGCTGTTGAGGTTGCTGGGGATCGAGTGATCCAGAGACCGTAGGCACCGTCCAGTGGGCCGTGACCGTGGTGGGCGCCGTTCTGGGTGGTGGAGGGAGAGCTGGAGCTTGGGGGGGCAGTGAGCCCTCTGGGGTATTGTTGTTGCAGTTCTCATTGGGAGGATCATCTTTGAGCACAAACTTGGTAGCAGCCTTGGACTTCCTGGACTTGAGCCACTCGATGCGGATGTTGCGGGGCGCAGGGGCAGGCCGCTTGCGGAAGACACGCCGCACTGGCAGGACCTTGTTGGACTTCTTGTTGCGCCAGAAGGTGGCGGTGGAGATGAGGACAGTTATGGCCACGACGATGGCCATGATGCCAGCTAGCACACCCACAGCCTTCATGGGGTTGTCCTTGGTGTGTATCAGGAAGGCTGCCATGGGGCCTCGGGACAGCGTCTGGAAGAGAGAGCCACCCCTTGTATGTAGCTGTTCCTGCCTGGTCCCTGCAGGACAGAGTGGGGGTGTGAGCTTCCTTAAGCCTGATGGATTTTAAACTTTCTGGGGTCAGGCAGCCCTTTAAGAATCTGATAAGCACTATGGGTCTGTTCAGAAAAGATGCACACACAAAGAGCATGGTGCAACCACTCTCTAGAACAATACACTCAGAACAGCATGCAAACAGCCTCTTTTGGATTCAGGGCTCCTGCATTAGCTGGACTCTGTTCTTGACGGAGTAAGATATTGCTTATCTTTAATTATGAGGGGCCATCTGCACAAATGTGTCAGAAACCCCTTAAGAGATGACTTTCTGCCAGACACTGAACAGACATATAATGATCTTACTTCTGCCTTTTAGTCCTGATGTGAAGGAGACATTGTTATTCCCATTTTATGGGAAAGGTAATGGAGGCTCAGCAAAGGCCAAAGTCACACCATTAATCACTAGTGAAGCTAGAATTTCAACCTGATTCCAAGCCTGTGCAATTGATGGCACAGGCCACCTTTGATGGCATTCGACGAGCACCCTCCTTCTGCTCGGGTTGCAGAGAGGCCTCGGCTGGCCCTCTGACTCCTTTTCCTGACCATGGCCATGTACCCACCTCAGTGTCTGTGATGTCAATCTTCAGTAGGGCTGTGGTGCTGAAGGACGGGGAGCCGCGGTCCGTGGCCTGCACCTCAAGGGACCACGTGTAGTCCCCGCTGGGCGTGATGTTGTGCAAGGCATCCAGGGAGCGGATGGAGTTCTTGAGCCAGATCTCCCCTGTGTGTGCATTGATGTCGAACACATTGGCTGGCTCTGCATGGGTGATGGAATAGTCCACCAGGTTGTTGGGTTCCTCTGCGTCCTGGTCTATGGCCTGTGCACAAGGAGGGACAGATACTGGCTAAAGTAGCAGGTCATATGGGGCTTGCTGGGTTGATGGGAAATGGTTCTAACCTTATATTTTGATTGGATTGAGTTGGACAAGGAATGGAATGTCTTCCCTACTGTGAGCCAGGACCTATACGGGATACCGTTCCGTTCTCAGAACACATCTAGGAAGTAGGTGTTAGTAAATCCAAACTACAGATGCAAACAAAAGCTTGGATACTGAGTGACTTGCTCAAGGATATAGAGGGAGAAGGGGAGCTGGGATTCAAAGTCATGTCTGTTGGGTTTCCGAGTTCATGCTTTGTCCACATTGGGAAGCCAGTGAAGTCCATGGGAAAGGCACTGCTCTGAAGGCAGCAGACCAGCTGTGCAAACTGGCGAGCCGAACGCCAACCCACCGGAGCCCCAGTTTTTCATCTGTAAAGAGGCGATAAGGTCTTTCTTCTCAGGGGTTACTTCTGGGTTAAAGTGAAGATGGGGAGGTATAAAGTACCTTAAAATCCCTTGCACACCTTGAGAATCCCATAACTCTTATTTAACCTAAATTTTTATGCCCCAGTGTCTCTTGCAGCTGCTGGAACCAGGCTTTTAGGGGAGCTCGGCTGCCTCCAAAACCCACCTCAATTTTCACCGGGGTCCCGAGCACCATCGTCTTCTCCTGGATGCTCTTTCCAAACTGGGGGTAGTGGTCGTTGACATCCAGCACAGTGACAAACACCTCGGCCAGGCTGTACCTGCCGTCCATGTCCTCGGCCTTCACATAAAAGTTGTACCTGGCAGTGGCCTCAGCATCCAGGCTGGCCCAGGGCTGGGTGTAGATAAGCCCAGTGGATGGGTGGATCAGGAACCTGCCAGGCACGGAGAGTGCAGGCACGGTGTTTGTGTGTGTGTGTACTTGCCCACGTGTGCACACATGCACGCCCACACCCACACACATGCATGCACACACACACATGCATGCACACACAAACACAAACACATGCATATGCGTGCACACGACTGCAATGATGAACTGCCTCCCGGAAGCAGCAGCGAAGCACCATGTGGCTTCTCCCACCTGCTCCTCTCCCATCCTCGCAGTCGGACTGAGGGGGCAGATCTACCCGTCGCCTCTCCCATCTGCCACATTGAACCTAACAATCTAAACTGCAGCCCCTCTCTCTCCTCCCATGGCCTGCCCCGCCCCAGCCCAGCCCTGCTTGCATGGCTTCTGAGGCCCTGGGCCCCAGCTCCAGGCTGTGACAATGACCTTCTCTCCTAGCACCTCCCTAATGTGTAGTGTGTCCCCCCCACCTCTGCCTCAGCCTCTCCACTGCTTCCCTTCCTGCCTTGCCCTCTCCCTGCCTTGCACCCAGGCATGCTGCTCGTGGCCCCCCTTACCCCTCCAGGGTTCTGTCCCTTCCAGGTCCCTCCGCCTTCCACACAGACCCCCCTCCACACTCAGCCTCCCGAATCCCTTGCCTGAGGCCCTGCCCAGGATTCTGGCCCTACTCACAGGTCTGCCTCAGTCCCATAGATGGAGTATTTGACTTCACCCCAGGGTCCTGTGTCTGGATCCACCGCCTGGAAGAGAGAAAGCTCCCGGTGGCACTTGCCCCATTGTCGGGGTACATTGCCAGCTCCCGTGTCTCAGGGTTGCTTTCAACGGAAAAGCAAGGGGTGAGTAACTAACTGATCTGGAGGCTGCTCTAGTTTTTCTCAAGTGTTGGAGGAATCAAAAGGTTTAGATCTGGAATGCATTTTTCCTCCTTTATAAACGAGGAAGGAACAGAGGATGGGTCCCATGCCCTGTGCTGGGGGTTTCTACATATGTCCTCAACACAGTCCTGTGAGGTGTTATCCCCACTGTATAGATGAAGAAATGAAGGCAAGTAACCTGGCCAGGGACAGCTAATGACAGCGGGCTTTGTGATTCAAACTGGAACCTGGTTCTGTCTCACTTTCCAAGGTCCCCTCCCCACCACAGTTCTTGGACCAGTCCTCAACCCACCGTGACAGCCACCACATTGGAGCCCCCTGGGGCATTCTCAGGGATCCTGGCAATGTAGTAGGGGGAGGTGAACTTGGGGACATTGTCATTGGTGTCCAGGAGCTGGATCACCACATCCGCTGTGGAGCTGAACTTCTCTGGCGTGTTCACTTCAATGGCCAGGAGCTGCGAAGGAAGGGAGAGGAGGGCTTAGTCTGGGTAGGAGTGGCCCTGCCAAGGCCTCCCCCTCCTGCCTCCCCAGACTGGCTCAGCGCCCCCACGCTGCATGTGCTCACTCTCGGCTGCCGGCTGCGACCAGCCACGCCTGCATCCCCTGCAAGGGCCCGGGAAGGCCGTCTCGCCCCCTCCACCCACGGGCCTGCGGGCCAGGCTCCGCACCGCTCCCTTGGTATTGGGGACAGTTCCTTTTGTTCCACTGATCTGCATATTCCTTTCCAGCTCCAATTTATAAGTTTATTTCTCCAGATAAAAACCAGTAAAGTATAATTTAGTCAGGACTTCTCCCCCCCTCTCCAAAGGAACTTATACGTAAGAGTTAATTGGGTGGCATTGAATTCCTTATTCACTTGAGGAGAGTTGGCATTTTTAAACAAGGTTTGCCTCTGCATGTCTTGACTTCTTTATATCCCTTTGCAAAATCTTGCATTTTAGGTCATTCAGGTGCTGCACGTTTTTTGTTAGGGTAATGCCCATAAATTTTATTTGTTGGTTGATATTGTAAAAGAGAAGCTTGTATTCCACTGTATTTTCTTCTTCTTCTTTATATTTATTTATTTTTTTGGTGGCCTGCCAGTACAGGGATTGAACCCTGAACCTTGTTCTTACTGTTATTGTTGTGTCTAGGAAAACTGTTGAATTTTGTGTAATAACTTTATAATCAACCGTGTTAGTACTTTCGCTGTTTCTTTTTCATTCATTTCCCTCAGATTTTCTAAGCAAACAATCACATCACCTACAAATAAAGATCATCTGTCTCTTTCTTTCTAATGTTTGTACCTTTCCTTTTTTATCCAGGAATAATGTTATTCCAGGAATCTTGTTAAGTCTGCTGCAATAACAGGCATCCGTGTTTCGTTTCTGACCTTACAGATTGCTTGCAGTGTTTTTCACGTTTAAGCATGATGATGACTTTTAGTGTGTATAACTATAAAAATGATAATTTAAATAATATCGATGAAATACTTATTTCTTCTTTTTATTAATAATATAACTTATATGTTTATACATAATATACATTGATGATGGAGTTTGGATGTGTTGTCCCCTCCAAAACTCATGTGGAAATTTGATCCCCACATGCAGCTGTCCCAGAATCATAAGCAAATCAACCTCTGTTCTTTATAAATTACCCAGTCTCAGGTATTCTGTTATAGCAACACAAAACGGACTAAAACAAGTGATAATTCTACATAATTACAAATTGTATCAAAGGAGTATTTTTACGCTCTTTTCCCAAGGTTGTTATTAGAATAGATGACAGATATAAAAGGCATATTAGAAAACATCTACGTTGATAATTAGTTTCGCTCTATTAACATGGCAAATTATATTGGTAGTTTTCCTTCAACATCCCCCACCTTGGACTTCTGGGGCTAGTTGTGGCTCAGAAGCCAGGAGCTCAGAGAGGCTGAGGCTGTGAGCAGTCTGCAGAAGGTTCTGCACACACCCCTCTTCCTCCCTGACCTGCTCCCCACGCCAGCAGGAGGAGTTGAGGGTCAGGGAGGACAACGGGAGGACCAGGAAGGCCAAGCAGTGACAAGAGACCCCTCAGGAATGAATCCAGATGCTGGGGTGAGCTCCTGGGACCCCCCTTTCAGGGCAGTGCAAAGCTCCACCTACCTTGAAGGTTAACACTTTGTACTTTTCAAAGTCGATGGCGGCTGAGTTCTCCACAATGATCGTGACTTGGGCTTCATTCAGGATTGTCTGTGGGACCACTCGGAAGATGCCGCTAAGCCCCACTAGCTGCAAGTTGAATTTGGCATTGGCTCCCTGGGCGATAAAGGAGAGAGGAAACAGGGAAGATAAGTAATAGAAATGCATCATATATTTGTGCTAAGCGAGGAGGCTTCCTATGCCCTTAACCCTGGGAGGTGAGCAGTACTGCTTTTTCTACAGGTGAGGCTATCGAGGATCAGAAAGACTTAGCCAGTCATGAGGTTTACGTGAGGTAATAAGCACAAAAGGCCTAGCCCTGTGCCAGGCATAGGAGGTGGCAGGACACACTGGCAAACACCTGTTTGGCAGGTCAGAGGAAGAGGGAGGTGCTTTTGTGTGACTAGCTTTCACTTTTTAATTAGTTGTGAACACCGTTAGGCTAAGCAGATAGTCTTGGGCTAGCTGCTCCCCCTCCTCTCCCTCTTGGTTACACCCTCTCAGTTCACTCGTTCTGCGATCTGCCTGTCCCCTGCTGCATAAGCGGCGGAGGCTGATGCAGACCCAGGCAGCCTTGGGTCCATGGCCCTGTGCTGTCTGTGGGCAGGCAGTTTGGAGGGCAGGACCACACACCTGGTCGGAGTCATTGACGGTGATCTTGAGGCCCCGCAGGATCTCTCCCTGCGGAGGGTGCTCACACATGGACAGCTCAAATCTGTTCTGGGGTCCACTCTCTCCGTAGAATGTCGGTGGATGGTTGTTGAGGTCCACGATCCTGATGGTGACCGGGACCATGGCCTGGGCAGCTGGGCTCCCCGCAGAGCTGACCTCAGTCACCTGGGGGGGGGACAGGTTGCTATGATTGCATGGCAGGTGGACTCTTGAGATGGCCCCAATGATCCTGTCTTCTGGCGTCTATACCCTTGTGTAATCCCCTCTCCTTAAGTGTGGCCTGGCCTGGCAACGTGCTTCTAACTGATGGCATATGGCAAGATGATGAGATATCACTTCATGATTAGCTTAAAAGAGATTGTAACTTCCATCTTGCTAGCAGACCCTCTCCCTTCCTGGCATTGATGAAGCAGGCAGGGATGCTGGAGAGGCCCATGTGACAAGGAACTAATGGTGACCTCTAGCCAACAGCCAGCAAAAAAATTAGGCTCTTAGTGCATCAGCCCACAAGGAACTGGTCCTGCTCACAACCGTGTGAGCTTGGAAGCCGATCCGGATGCTGGAGAGGCCCATGTGACAAGGAACTAATGGTGACCTCTAGCCAACAGCCAGCAAAAAAATTAGGCTCCTAGTGCATCAGCCCACAAGGAACTGGTCCTGCTCACAACCGTGTGAGCTTGGAAGCCGATCCTTCCCCAGTAGAGCCTTCAGATGAGACCTCAGTCCTGGTTGACAATCTGATGGCAGCCATGTGAGAGACCTTGAAACTGAGGACCCAGCCAAGCTGAACCTGGACTCCTGACTTACAGAAACTGCAAGAGGTGAATGTGTTTGTTTTAAGCCACAAAGTTTGGGGTAATTTGTAACACAGCAGTAGATAACTAACACAGGCTGCAAAGCCAGGGCTGGTTCCACAGGCACCTCCTGAACCACATGAGCCTCATCAAGGGCCTGCTTTCTCTCGTTCTGTAAGCAGGCTCCGGTCTCACCTATCCTAACACGATCCTCCCGGGACACCCTCCTTCACACCCTAGCTGCAGTGCTGGCTCTCTCCCTCCTCAGAAGCCTACCCCTGCTGCCTCTGTTTCCTGCTTCCCACTCAGTTCTCACTCATGCCCACCGACACACTTCACACTGACTTCAGCACCGCCCTGGCACTGCCTCCCCAAGTTCCCTGTGCCCTCTGCTGAGGCGCCCTCTGCAAGTTCTCCTAGGTCTCTCTGACCCTTGCCAGGGCTCCTGCACCGGCTCCCCCCTGCCACTCTTCACCTCTGATGCTCCCACAGCTGTGGACTCGGTCCACCGCCCCCTCTCTCCACAGCCATCCCCCGGGTGGCCCCATTCCATCTGTGCCTTTCACAGTTAACCACGTGTTGACACACTCTCCCCTAAGCTCCAAGCCTGTATGCTCAAGTTTGGATGCTTCAACTTGAATGTCCCCAAGGTGTCCAAGTTCACATCCCCTTCTACTTAACTTGCGTCCCCTCCTGAGCCCCTGATGGCTTCATCCGCCCCTCTCATCCCTCACCCCTCAGCCAGTCAGTCACCACATTCTGTGCAGTCTGACTGCTTCATATTTTGCAACCTGTCACTTTCTGCTGTCCCATGTGGGCCACATGGGGGCACAGGGAGTCACACCACATGCTCCTTATGCATTATCCTCTCAATATCCCCCCCTCATCCTTTCGGGCCCTCTCCCTCTGTCATTTTGACCGATGGCTCTGCTTCCTGGTCAGTTCCCTCCAAACCTGAGTCAAGACCAGAGTTCTCCAATGACAGGCTGGGACTGGTGCCAGGATTGCCTGGGCCCTTATGACATGCAATCCCGGTTTTACTCCAGGCATGCTGAACTCCCATCCCCAGGAGTGGGTCCTGGAAATCTTTGTTGGCTACGCGGTCCAAATTTGCGAGACCCATTGGTCTTGTGAGCAGCCAGAGTGAGCTTTTCAACATGTGACTGTAATCCTGCTCAAAACCTTTCAATGGCTCTTTATTGCTCTTGGACAGGATTGGTGACAATTTGCAGGCTCAGGGAAAAATGAAAATATGGGGTCACTTGTTCAAAAATTATTAAGAATTTTGAGACAGCAAATAGCAGGGTGTTAAGCTTAGCATGGGATGCTTATAAATGCAGTCCCTGTGTGACTGTACAGGCCACATACCATGCTCCAGCAAAAAGCCCATACCTTGCATTTAGGGTCTTTGTTGCTCTAGCCCCAGCCTGGGATTCCAAATTTCCTCCTTCTGGGTGCTGCCCGTGGACTCCCTGCTCCAGTCTCACCTGCCCTAACCCCTCCTGAGCACCCACTCCCAGTCTCAGCTCCCTGGGCTTTCCTGGCTTGGAATGACTTCCGTCCCCACCCAGCCCAGGCTCCCTCCACCATATCCTCTTGTTGGCTCCTACCCACGCTCGGCGCATTGCTGCTTCAGTCCAGCCCCCTCCTGCCTGCTCATGGCTCTCTGCTTGTGAATTCGTCTTCCCTCACGGGGGACTTTGCGTGTATCTGGTGCAGCCTGATGTAGGTGCCCTTCGGAACGACGTCTAGATTGCTTCCCAGACTGTGAGCCCCAGAGGGGAAGGCCTAGGTCTCATCGCCTTCGTAGCCTTCCAGGACCAGAGGGTGGGCAGAAGGACCACGCTAGAGGGACGGTACCTGTACATGCAGCGCATACACTTCTCTCCGGAGCTGGGCAGGGCTCTGTGTGAGGGAGATGACTCCAGACGTCTCATTAATTTCAAAAGCTCCATCACTCCCTGTAGAGAGACGCACCCTGCAGTTCTGCACAGGGCCACGTGGGGGCGCACGGAGTCGCGCCACGTGCGCCTCATGCATAAGCTCATGGAAGTCTCCTTACAATGTAAAACTGTCTTCTGTGTCTTGCCAGTGAGGAAACTGAGTCTCAGGGGGGGCTAAGTAACCTGTCTAAGGGTACACAGTAAGTGCAGAGCTGGGACTTGAACCCACTTTTGTCCGGATCCCAAGTTCCACACCTGCCTTTGTCTTACATGTAATACTGTGTGTGTGTGTGTGTGTGTGTGTGTGTGTTAGTGAAGAAAAGAGAGAGGGAGCAAGAAAGGGATAAAGAGAGAGGGAGATAAGGAAGGGGTGTGGGGGTATGAAGGAGAGAAGGGAAGAGAGGAAGAAAGAGGAGAGAGGGAGAGGAGAAGGTCTGGAGAAGGAGGAGGAAGGGGAGCGTGTGTGTGGTGCTCTGTCATTGGGTAGAGGTTTGCAGTGCCTGGGGAACGCAGCCTGTGTGACAGTGGCATGTTCATTCACGCGTGAGCTGCTGGAGAGAGAGTGTGCACCAGGCGTGTCCTGGGAACAGGGCTGGGGTGGTCCCTGAGGGAGGGCGTGTAGACGTGTGCATGTCTGGGATCAGGCAGCGGGTGTGATGACCTGGGCTACAGAGGACTGCAGAGCCCATCCCAGGGACAGCTCGGCCTGTCCAGGTGCTGCCCAGCTGTGGAAAGAGCACAGACTCTGCAGCCAGCAGAGTTAGGTGCAAATTCAAAAGTGGCAACTTGGGACGCCTGTGTAGCTTCTCGTGCACATACAAGGCTAGCACTAGGGAGATACCATATTGTCACCGCAGTTGATTCATTTAATTCAGCTATATGCTCTCGGCCAAAAAATTAAAAAGAATGAGAAAAAATAGATGGCAGTTTTAAGAGTGTAAGAAACATTGCCGGCTGTTCCCGTCAATGAGCGGATGCCCAGGGTGAAGGGAACATGGATCAACACCGCAGCCAAAAAATTAAAAAGAATGAGAAAAAATAGATGGCAGTTTTAAGAGTGTAAGAAACGTTGCCGGCTGTTCCCGTCAATGAGCGGATGCCCAGGGTGAAGGGAACATGGATCAACACCGCGCATGCTGCTCTCCATGCTGCAGAACCAGAGAGTCTCTGCAGCCCCAAAGCCTCCCCCGACTCACCGTTCACGAGGCTGTAGAGAATGGGGTTGGGTTTGCCCCGATCTCCATCCATGGCGACCACCGTCAGTACCTCTGAGCCCTTGGGGGAAACACGGGCAGCTGCCTGAGGCTGATGGGGGATACTGGGGTCTCCCCTTCCCAGACACTGCCCCCATCATGAAGAGAAGGTGACACCCCCTCCTGAGAGCATGGCCCTGCCCCACTCTGCCAGCTCTCAACACTGCTGGGACTCCCAGGCCTGGAGGGGCAGCCCGCGCCCCGCAGCTTCCTGGCCCCTGGGGTCAGCGTGTGGGCTGCCTGGGGACTCTCCAGCTTCCTGATTGACTCTTGTCCCACAGGCCACACTCGGCCCTCACCTCTGCTGCTCTCCACCCTGCAGCCTCACCCCACTGTCCCCTCTGTCTTTGCCTTCGTCCCCCCAGAGGTGCATGAAGGGAGAGGCGAGAGACAGGTGGGTGTGGGGCCAGGTCACAGAGCGCCTTGAACGCCATGTCCAGGAATTGGGATTTTATCCTGTGGGCCCTGGGGTATCATTCATGGGGCTTGGGGTAGGGGCCACAAGTGGTCAAGGCCGGCTTGACTTTTGCCTGCCGCCCCTTTTAAGCACCCTGCTCAGACCCTTCTCTCTGGGCCACTCATGGCTACTTCTTGACCCGGTCCAGGTGCCACCTCCTCTCCATGAGGCTGCCACGAGCCCTGGCCCTCTGCACCTCCTCTACCCTGAGCTCCTTGGCAGGACGGGCTGGGTCTCCCTGCACTGTCCAGCAGTGACACCCAGTCCCCCGGGCAGCCCAGCTTTTCTCTCCCCTACTGTGAGCTTGTCTCCACCACTAGGTCCTCAGTATGTGTTGTCCC